TTTTGATTCTTGCAGACAGTTAGATAAAACTGAAATATTTGGGTTTTGAACTTCTATTCTTGTAGATTTTGTAATTTGCAATGGGTTTTGAACTTCTGATTCTTGTAAATTTTGTAATTTGCAGTTAGAGAGGGGGGGGGGGGGTTCAGAGAGAATGGAGATGGAGGATAGGGGAGGCTGAAGTGATTTGCCCTAAAAATATTTTGTTTTAATATATAATATTTTATATATATATTATATTATATTATATATATTATATATATATATAATATAATATAATATATTATAAATTTTCGAAAAAAAAAAAAAATTTAAAAACTCAACCCGTCAACCCGACCCAACTTGTCCGAAAATATTTGGTCTGGGTTATGATCATAACCATGTTGAGTATAATTTGGGTTGACCCAACCCAACCCGCTTCAGGTTGAGGCTGGGTTGGGCTAGCCCTAGTTGCAGCAACCAAATTGGAAAGCCTCACCTGTACACAACTAGCGAGCTATCAAATCGTATGCAACCGGTGAAATCTAACACCTCCCTTTCACTCGTCGCCGAGTTGATGGTTCAAATTAGATCCAATTGCTTGTTTCGGCGAACCCAAATCGAGAGCATGGTCTCGATGCTTGTTTTGGTGAACCCAAATCGAGAGCTATATTAGTCATAAGCCGTAATCGCCGATTGTCATCACCAATTGTTGTCGTCCATTGTCGTCGTGGATCACCTTCGTTATTCATCGTCGTCGCCTTCGTTGTTCGTCGTCGTCATCGCTATGTCCGATGCTTGTGGATTTTGAACCACCTGTTGAGACCCAACCCGACTGGATTGTATAGGGTTCAACCCTAATTTTAGAGTTTTATACGATGAAGAGAATTCCCAAATTAATTTCAATTCTCTGTGATTCTCAACTATTAACAAGTTAAATTGCCTAATTTGTAAACTCAACTAATTATCGTAAGAGGTTTGCTTTTGTAAACTCAACTAATTAGGGTAAGACTCAACTAATTAGGTAAGAGGTTTCCAGACTTTGCAGCAAGAGAAATCGTGATGGTTCCATGGGTAGGGTTTTAGTGGTTGCGAGAGGGATTTGCAAAGCTTGGTGATTAGTCAAACAAATTTATTCTTATTTCGGTGCTGTGTGTAAGCTTTGATGTGGATTGCTGAAGTGTCAATTTGTAATTGGCTCTTCAGATTACAATTTGCCATGTCATGGGATAAAATTTAAATATATAAAATTTTAATGAAACTACGTCGTTTTGTTTGAGGGTATACATGTCATTTAACATTTTCAGTGAGGGATGTTGACCGGATAAGTTACTGTTGTCCTCAACTGTAACAAATTGATAGTTTAAGGGGGTTTCTTATAGTTCGAGGGGGTTATTTGCAAAACACCCATAGTTGAGGGGGGTTTTTTGCACTTTACCCTAATCCTAACAAGGATTACATTTAAACAATGTTGACAATAAAAATATGTCATCCATATCCTTAATCTAACATCACATTTGTAGTTTAAGATTGTTGATAAAATGTCCTCCATATTTTTAATTTAAATTCACTTTTGTTGTTGAACAACTGTCATAAGAAAAGGTTTTTCATATATCTAATTTAGCATCGGATGACTCAGACTAATTTTAATAAACAATTTATCATTAAGTACAAATTCATTACCTTCAAATGAAGTTTAATAATTTATTTAAGAGTAATGATACTCATACTGTACACTTGAAGTAAATTGCCTAATCGAATAACTTTTAATTAGCTATTTATATCAAATACAATTAAGCGATGGGTTCGCTTCCTTATTTGTTGCATAATTGACCAATTAAAAGAGTAATGAAAATAAATATTTGTAATGATTGGCAATAAATATTTTTTTGAATTTTGTTTTTGGTATGAAATATCGGAACTAAGTGGCCAATAATGAAAAGAAATTTACTAAAATACCCACCATAATCAAGTTTAAAATTTGCCCATAGCTTCACTCCTGTAACACTAATATTTTTTCCAGCCAGTGTTTCAAACTTTGAAACATAAAACTCGGTAGTAATATTTCCAACCTTATTAACAACTGTTTTCATTGTGGGATTTTTTATTTTATTTTATTTTATTTTTTTTGTAAATGAAAAAGAATATTTGTTTTTAAAATTTGTTTCTTAAACTTAAAAAAATAAAAGCTTTTGGTGCGTTGTAATTACAGATAGTTTTAATGATATCGTAACCCACATACCACCATTAGCGCACCAACTATTAATGATATCAAAGTTTGAGAAGATATTTCACGAACTATATGCATCAGTCTTAGTGGCACATTTCTGAGACATCATTGTGTCACGTTATGAGAGTATCGACTCATATTCATTGAAAAGCTAAACAAGAAAGCTCTTTACTTTAACTAGTTCGAACCTTGAGAGATACATATAATTTTGCACAAAAAATAGTTTGAGACATGTATGAAATTTTGCACAATCTTGTAAACCTAACCAACTCCATTATCAACCAATTGAGAAGAGAAGATAAAGTCTGCACAAGTGAGAGTTTAGTATATATTATATATTAAGTTACATTACATTAAATATAATGGTTTATTATATTTATATTGATGAAATAATTATATTTAAATTCTTTATTTATGTTGCTAACACTGTCACACTCTTTTACATTATAAAAATGTTACATATTTATCATTTTATATATCTAAGTGTGGAGATAATATACTAAGTGTGAGTGAGACTTGGAAAAAAGCTTTTCATTTATTCATTCTACTTTATCATATAAGTATTTAAGATGTTGTGTTTATGAGCAACAAGACACATGTAGACTTGGGCCTGGTCTTTCTGTAGCCGTATACACGGAAGAGACGTCGCTGCAAGCTGATTGAGTTTTTCTTCATTACCTGCAGTTTTCAAATTTTATTGACTTTAATTCATAAACATTTTTTTCCCTCTCATTAGATCATATCATCTGCCTTGTAACTCCTTGAATTTGTCTACAAAGGAGATCAACCCAATTGTGAAGAGAAGATAAAGTCTGTACAAATGAGAGTTTAGTTTGATTGTGGTGGGTTTGTCAAGGATATTGTTCCAAGTTACAGAAAGTGATGATGGAAGACATATCTCTAGCAATTGTTGTGCCATTTTATGCTGGTAGTGATGGAAGAGATATATCAAGCAATTGACGTTCCATTTACGTCCAATAATATAATTAGTTGGATTTTTTGTGATATTCTTAAGAATCTAATAGCTTTGGAGGCTAATTTCATTTCAAATTCACCAACTACCATAAAACCTAACCCATATATCGTACTTGGTTTTAATGATATCGGATATATTTCAAGAACTATAAAAATTAGTATTCGTGTCACATCTATATTTGATGAGACATCAACATATCACATTATAAGAGTATCGACCGTTTTTAAGTAAAATGTAAACTGATTTGAGCCTTGTTGTAACGGATTTGAGAGATGCTTGTAATTTTGCAAAAAACAAAGATAATACTAGACATGTATAAAATTTTGCACAATCTTGAAAAACTGACCAACTCCATCAGCAATCAATCTTATACTTTATTATATAATATATTGATATATGTATATATACACATATAAATGAACATATGGATGCACTTCTAGATTTAGAGAGGGAGAGAACATATGGATGTACTTCTAGATTTAAATATATGTGGGAAGCACAAAACATACCTGAAATGGATTCAAATGGGTTAGCTAAGGAGGTTTTTGTGTAAAAAAAAAATAATAAAAAAATAATAATAAAAAGGGAAAAATAATAATAAAAAGGGAAAGAGTGTCTCCCCCGATTAATTGTCCGCTTTTATTTATTTATTTTTTCCCTCAAAATTTTCCATTCAAATGGTCTATAAAGTAAAAAATACTTGTAACCAAATATCAACCACAGATAGGTGTATTGGTTAAAGGTATTTAGATTTTTTTTTACTAATATATGGAAATTATTTCGAATGTCAACTTACATATATATATATTGTAATTCAACTACACAAATATGAAAAAAAAAAAAAAAAAAAACCATTTGAATATTGCAATTTCATTGAATTTTTTTAATTTTACTGATTCAATAAATACTTGAGTTGAATTTTATAAATTGATATATCATATATGTAGTGAAGCAATTATATTCCCTAGAAATTTTTGGACAAAAAATTATTAAACTCATCCAGTTTTTCTCAATGACTTCAATTTTTTTATTTATTATTATTTATATTTTCGTCAACATATATAACAAAACTAGAGGCCTGTTTGGTATTTGTTTTGCTTCATGTGTTTTTGTTGCAGGCCTGCTACAGTAGTAAATTTTTAACCCAAAACATGTTTGGTTCGGTCTATTTTGTTGCCAATAGTGTCAAAACAGATTCAATTTTTGGGCCAAAAATTAAAACACCCTTTTGTTGTTTTACTGTGTTTTGGGTACTGTTGGCCTAAATAATCACTGTAGCGGAGGAAGTAAAAACACTCACTGAAACCAAACTTGCAACACGTATATAAACCAAACTTAAAACATTTCAGTCATTTCTAGGGTTTCTAGAGAGCTCGAGCGGAGGCGATTTTGGGGCGACTGTGCTGTGTATGCTTGTTTGGCTGAAATCCACCAAACCGACCACCGATCTTTGCTCTTTTGTTATCTTCGTCGAAGAACAAGGCAGGAATCAGAAATCTGAAGCGATTGTGGCTCGAAAATGGGTCATCGATTAAGATGATTTTTGCCGGACATTGTTTGGGGTCTGGTGTCGCCGTCTTCCTGACGATGATCGTGGTGAACCACGGTGACCTGCTCGGCGGGGTTTCGAGGAGTCATGTGCGGTGTTATGCGATTGCGCGTCGCTCAATTTAGCTGTGAAGTATGCCAATGTTATAGACTCTGTGATCTTGCAGGTGTGGAATTTGAATGCCCCCAATTTGATTTGGTTTTTCTGGTTTCAGTTTGTTTGAATCAATCAAATGAGAAGTTATTATGAAATTGGTTTTATTCTGTTTATATTTGCTTGTAAATGTATATTTTTGAGTTGTTTGATTCAATTGCTTCTGGTTCCTGATAAAATTCATTGCGTATTTGCAACGTATTTGCTCCATTCACAAGAGCCTGATCAGATGGAAGTAATCCCTCCCCAGAAATTAGGTTAACATAGTACTGGTTATCAAATGTTGATGGGGTCACCAGGACAAGATGTGCCAGCGTTGTGTTTTTATCTGTTTCTGAGCATAGTTGCTGGAGAGAGGTAAAAAGGCCACATCAATGTTTGGGCCATTTGAGTCGCTATTGCTATTACCCTTTTACCGAGAGCTAAATGTTGAGCATCGAGCTTTCCCCATTGTGTGTGCACCTCCCAAAGAGAAAGAAAGAATGTTTTCTCAACATCCAAACATGCATGTTCTGGGTTAAAAATAAAGAAATCAAGCTACCCGAGAGGGTAACGACATCAGCAAGCGTGAGACCGACATTTCTGAACTTGGTGATGAGTGTTGGGATGTCCGAATTGGGGCCTGAAATGTTGTTGTTGGCTGCTGTTTTGCTTGCATTCAAGCTGTCCCTCCTTCCCACTTCCACTTCCCAGCCTGGGCCACCTGACTGAGGAATTAGAATGCAAATTAGTACACCACCACACTAGTACTACTTGTTCACAATAGTTAGAGAGAACCAGTGTACTGATCACTAACACATAACACATACATACTAGAACAACAGAGTCTCTTGCTGCAATTGCAAGAATATCAGCACAAGAGACAGTTTCAGGACAACCTGACTCAAGATCAGACTTGATCGTATCGATCACTTCAAACCCTCTCAGTGAATTCAAGTTTGGTGCTGCAGTTTTCTCCCCAGCCAGATTTCCCATGTCATCTAACAACACTAATGCATCACATCCCTGCAACCAAACTTGTGTTCATTAATATTAAACTATATAAGCTAAAAACATATATAGAACAAAAAATTTGAAACATGACATGCATTAACAAAGCAATCGTGGAAATGAAGTCGAAGCAGAGAAGCTGCCATTCTAGGGTCTTGGGACACTGCCCTTTTCATCCAAGAGAAGATAATGGGCTCAGCCTCTGGGCAGCTATCTTGATACACACCAAATTGTAATACAACAGTAGCAGCACCGTCGGCGCATGCTTCATTGGAGATGTTAGGCAAGTTTGCCGTGGTGATTGAGAACTTGAGCATGAGTAAACAAAAACAAGCCAAGTAAAAGGCCATTTTTGTATGCTTAACAATGTTAATTAGCTTTGGATAGTTGGGAACTTTATATAGATAAGCTTGGAGGAGTTGAGAGAGTGAGTAAGTGAGTGGATGATGAAATATGTACAAAAAGAGTGGGTAAGTAAATGAGGGCATAGTCAAGGCTTGGAAGAGTTCAGTTCATGATGATGGACATGCAGAATCTACATTGATTCACCTAATGCCATGTGCTTCTTCATGCTTTTTGAATCTTTCAAATTTCATGTTGTTGTGACACAGAGAGAGCTCTTAATTAAGACATTAGTGTCAATTACACCAGAAGGAGTTTTGGACCCTAAACCTACCCCTCTCTCTCTCTCTTGCTTAACACTTTTCCTTGCCATGAAAATAACAATGTACTAGAAACTTAATCTTAATTAAGGCATTAGTGTCAATAACACTTTTCCTTGGAAGTGGGTATGTGATCTCAATTTAGGATTGCTAGCTTCTTTCATTTGATAGGTTTCTTTGGAGGTTGTTTAGTAACCTCAAAATACAGTTGTGAACCACAAGAAGTTCAAGGAAATGAGTTCATGTGGTTGGATGATTTCTTGGTAATTATACATGTGCAGTAGCACGAAGGGGTTTATTCTCTGTGTTGAAGGGGTTTATGTATTTCAACTCTTTAAATGCTCAGGATAATTCATATGTTCTGTGTACTTCATAATTTTGGATAATATGAATGTTGAGGATTTTTTTTAACCATTTTTTTTTTGTTCATTAGTTAATTAGCCTAGCACTAATATAAATTGACATATTCATTTACATACAAAATAAAAAGAAAAAGTTAGTTCCAGTATTTTTCTAACCTGACCATGTTAGTTTTAGGAAAACGTTCATCCGTTAGATCTCTTGTTCAAGAAAAGCTATGGTCTGTGGTCCTGTGGACAATGAGTTGTGTTTGGTTTGTTAAGCTGATTTTGAGTGTTGCATCAATGGTTGTTGAGCAACTGATAGATATATAATTTGGTAGAAAGTGATGATTATTAAGCATATTTTATTGAATAATTGATTAATATTATTGAGTAAGTGTTTAAGAGAAAGCAAGAGAGAGTGTATGCACATATGATGGAAAAAAACTTATTTAACCTAGCTGATATGTTGTTTATGTCTTGAAAATACCTACATTTCACCATCAGTATATAAATTTGGTGGATTTACTCCAATGTAATGAACTGACCATGCCAACTTAATCTTACCCAGGATGATTTCTTGCCAAGAACACCCCCTTCCTTGGAAGATGTCTTTAAATCAATGTTCTGGTTAACTGTCTTTCATTTTTTAATTTTTAATTTTGTTTTCTTTCCCTATGGTATCACAGAGACTGTTTTCTTTCCCTCCTCAAAGTGATGGTGAAAACGATGAGATTGTTGAGCATGTGCCTCTGGCTCAGCTTCGAGAAATGGATCAGTTGCATAATACTATTGTTGACCGAATCTGGAATTATCTTGGGTACTCTTGATCCTCCGAGAGTGATGGTATGTTTTTTCTTTTATATGTAATATATTTGTTGCTATTGTAGGCTTGTAATATTTATATATGTAATATATATCATTTTTGTTGTTACTATTACTTGCTACTATTATTGTTAATATATTTCAACTTAAATGCTACCATTGCAGATATGAAGTGTGTTGATGCTCTCTTGAAGGTGACTTGTGCTGTTATGAAGATGATGTGTCGTTGCCATTGTCATCTACTTTATGAACATATTATCAATTTTTAGTCCCAACTATGTATTGTTATTGCTTTGTTCTAAACATTTTGTATAGAACTTAAACTTGTTTAATTTGTTGGTTGAATATTTAAGCACTTGTAAATGGTTTACACTTTATTCCACTTATGCTTGCAGTTTGATTTGTTTTTATTTTGAATGTGTTTGACTATACAGGTAATAGGATAACAAAATTGAAGTAGGTTATTGCAAAAAATTTTAGGGCTTTTATAGCCACTTATTATATAGTTATTTATGGAAAAAATATTGATAATATTTGAATTATTAAAATGTATTTTTATATAAATTTACCATTGCATAAAATGTGACATTGAGTTCAAGTTTGGATTAAAAAAAGTTACAAATGTTGACTCTTATGGTAATGAGAAGACCAAATATATATATATGTATGTATTTATGTTTGTGTGTTCAAATTTCTCCAAATCTGTTAAAAATATGATGATTATTTATATAGAAATAAATTTATAAATATACTTAAAATTTATAAAAACAAATTAAAAATAATGATAACCAAACATGTTTTTTATTTTTGTTTTATTTTTTTTGGCAACAGTTGAAGTGACCAAACATGTTTTGTTTTCAAAATTATTGAAACGTATAACCTACCAAACATGTTTTGCATATTTCTGTTTTTGACATTTCAACAGCAAAACATCGTTTCCAAACGTGCTTCCGATTTTCTTCTAAAACACTCCTACAATAAAAACACAGTTTCTGTTTTAACAAAAAAAAAAACGCCTAAAACAAAACGCATACCAAACGGACCCTAAATATTGTAAGAAAAATAATGTTCAATTGATTTATAATTTTTTAAAATTTCAATTACAGAATTTTAGGAACCGGTGCGATCATATATTAGTTACACAATGAAGGGGTCAAAGCTAAAAAGGCATCCACACCCAAAACTAGGAACCAAAAACAAACCCATCCAAACTATATTAGAGGATAGATGTGTCCTAATGAAATCTTCTATTTCAGTGTCTGTTCTTTTCCTCCCTCTCCCTTTTGTATTATTTTTTTCATTTTTTACTTTTCTCTCGTACATCACTTATTACAAGTTATGTAGAAATAAAAAATAATTGTATATGCAAAATATTTCATAGATGTAATTCATGTTGGAATTTATATATATATAAATAATAAAAATTATTTTATAATCCTATGTACTACGTTTTCTAAATTAGGATTGCAATGTGATTATTGATACTTGATCGATTGGGTTTGTACTTTCCTATTTGGTGGTCTAATTGGGAGTATGGGTTTATACCGTTGGATTGTGGTTTTCCAACTTATTTGGTGTGATTTATTTCTAACCATTGATATCTAAGTTTCCATGATAGGAAGGGAGACTAATGTATACTTGTTTGTAGAGGAGCCGTCCTCCCTGTTGTTGTTATATATATAAGGGTTTTAAAACTCTTATTCAGACTTATCGTATCGACAACTCTCAGAAGGGAGTAAAGCGCTCTAATGTTTTGCAGGAACTCAGAGAGGATTACATGGATATTCTAAAGGTATATGTGCGATTTAATCATTAATCAGGTACGAGACTAAATTCTCTATTTAATTAATTATAATATTCTTGATTTCTACCTGTGGATTATTTATTTAAAACCCAACAATTGGTATCAAAGCAATGTTAGGGTTTAGATTTTCTTGTAAAAATCAAGATCAATGAATTGAATACATATTATATATTGTTTTAAATTAGAGGCATAATAAATATATAAATATATATTTGATCGCAAATTGTGTATGTGGGTCTTGCTCGTAAGGAGTCGAAATAGCAAGGAGAGAAGCGTTCACTGCCTTTACCTTTGTTCCAATAGTGAAAATTAGCTTCCAAACTAGGGGTTTTGTTTGTTGTTGTGTGTGCATGCCACTAAACTAGGGGTTTTGTTTGTTGTTGTGTGTGCACGCCACTAAACTAAGGGTTTTGTTTTTAGTGTGTGTGTGCGTGTCATGTGTGATGGTTATCAAAAGCTGAATGAATAAATATTATGGATCAGCATATATTGATTTGTATGCATGCCATATATATATATATATATGTATATATATGTGATTGTATGGTAATAAAACAAAACTATTTAATGTCACAGTTTTGTCACAATGTCGTCTTTTCTTAAAAACCAAGCATTACAAAATTATTTAATGACTTATTTTGTGCTTTTCTGATTTAATGTTTCTTGCATACAATACAATACAATTGAGAATTCTATTAAAATTTATTATTTTATTATGTTAATTTCAATTGTAAAATTCAAAAGTTTTGATTAATTTTTGTGTTATATATGTGTTGGTATGCTACATATATATCAGGTTGATTCTTTTGAAACCAAAGTTTTGATTTTGTGGTAGGAATGTTGAAAGAGTGAATCACTTCTAAATGAATTATATGCAAAGTATACGACATATCTAATTGGAATCCTATTATACTTGCTTTCTAGAACTCTATGTCCTTAAATAACAAATTCTATATAGAAAGTTTCAAGTTTTTTTTTGTTTGTATGCAATCAGTTTGTATGAAAATTCTTGTGCACCCCGAACGAGATGGGTATGTAAAGAAGGTTTGTATGGTTGGTTTGTTACCATAAAGTGTGTGTACGGGTAATTGTGACTGAACTTTGCAAGATAGTGTTGGACACTTTAAAAAGACTTATTTCCATAATATATTCAAATAAATAATATATATATATATATATATATATATATATATATATATTCAAGTTTCTTTTGGCATCTATTATGATTTGAATTAGTGGGACAAGTGTCAATCACTAAAATATAGATATGTTTGGTTCTGCACCTCATTCAGGCACTTAGACAAGTACTGATATATAGGTAGATAATATATGTGATAAATTTTCTCTAAAAGTTATTCCACCGCCCGTAATAAGTGTGGTTGGATGTGTCATAATTGATTTAAGGATTTAAGTATTTTTAAATTATTTATCGAAAATATAATATGCATACATCATGTTTTAAGATTTCTTTTAATTAAAGTATATAAAGAATTGAGATTTTTTTTTAAAAATCTCGATTGAAGTGCATGTTATTATTATATTGTTCAGTGTAATTTCTTAAGATGTATGAGGGGGCATTATTTTATTTGTATTAAAGTCATTTATATTACAGTGAAATTAAGTGTTCCATAATATTTGGGTTTAATTTATGTGCATTAACTTAAATAAATGGAACTTTAATTTAGGTTTTTCCTTGGGGTTTAAAAAGACAGATAAAG